GGTGGGTCGGCGCGGGGGCGCGGGTTCGATGGAGTCGGTGGACATGGCGCTGCAGTCAGACGCGGGGCTCTCAGACACTCGCTTCCCTCTCTCGAGTGAGGAGCCTCTGCTCCTGTGCCCGCCTTCTTTGATTTCTTTTCTGATCGGTACGGGGCTTTTCAAAGCCAACGGTATCTTAGACTTTTTAAGTTCTGGTTTTTCCGTTTCTGGAGTATTAACGGGACTCTCTAGCCGCCTTTTAATAGTGTCTGTAACATTCTCGTACTCGACTACGGGCGCGCCGTCCGCGGGCGAGGCGGCCTGCAACCACAAACCGCGGCGGCTTTAGTCTCCACAAACGTTAATGTCACAACCACACTGTTATTTACAAGTTAGTCAAACTGCCGGCCGCGTCCCGCCGGATGAGATGCGTGATACAAGCATGATGCGCCATGGGTCGCCACCAACACCACTCTATGTACATGTACGCAGGCCGCGCGACCTCGCCACTCACTATTAGTTAGTTATTGGAAACGGTCGAATTCTTACAAGTAAGAGTAATGAACACCAATGTATCTATGAATCACTTACCGTTGTGAATGAAGCGACTACGTGCAAACAATATTCAGTGAATCGACAAGCATAATGTAAACTGAGTAACGTAGACACCAAGACAAAGTTGGACGACGGCGTGTGAGACTCGGGCCTGTCGGTGCAGTGTATGGACGAGGGAACCGGCCGGGCTTACCTCGGGCGCGGCGGGCGCGGGCGGGCCGTGCTTCTTGAGATGGTCCCAGCGCGCGTTGATGGCGTCGACCTGCTCCCGCAGACGGTCCGCGTACTGAGGGTCTGCGGTGTCTGCGAAGCTGGCGTAGTTGGCGTTGAGCTTGTCCCGCAGCGCCTGCATGCGCGACATCTCCAGCTCCAGCGTCTGGCGGCCGACGCCGGCGCCCAGCCCGTCCAGCCAGGCGCCCAGCGCCTGCAGGTCGCTCTGCATGTCGCGCGCCGTGAGCAGCGCGTGCTCCAGCCGGGACTTGGACTCCGTGATCTGTGCGCCGAGCTTGTTGTACAGCTCCTTCAGCATGTCGATCTTCTTCGAGAACTCCTGCGGCTCGGGGACGGTCTTGTCTTCCACCATCTTGCGCCCGGTCTTGATGATGGACTCCACTTCCGACTTAATCTCACTGAGAGTCCGGTAGAACCTCTGTCGATGAAACGATACGAAAGTCAGTAATGGTCACTTTAACAATATATTGGCAGGTTCACTGGCGAGCTCTAGTAGCACTACTTACGAGCCATTTGTAGAAAGCAAGACTCAGAATAACGAGTAAATAAATCGAGTCCCACGACATGAGGCCGGCTGGGTATACCCGGCCCAGACCGCCGCAGTACGCGCCGGCCCGGGATCTACTACACGCGCTGCGCTCACGGTGCCTTACTATTGTTTACATTCAACTAGTGTATCATTTTGTCGTTGCATTTCCAAACAAACAAGTAATAACGATAACGAAAGTATTGAATCGACGTTCAGGGATCGCTATATTGTTTAATGTAGAAGCGTACTCAATGAATACGATTATCGAATAAGTTAGGCCGGTCAGTGCTGGCGTCGCATCGTACATCGCAGAGCTCACAAATAGAATGATAGAATCCTTTCAACCGACGGCACGCGAGGCGCAGTGTACAAGTACTACAAGGAAGCCCGCGCTAGTACTGCGCGCTCACTCGGCGTGTGCCGCCGTACCAACTGTAATCAATGTAGCGCTCTAAACTACTTCCGAATTAACCCTCGACTACATGGGCATGTATCTACTTATTTCAATCCTTCCTTCTGCTAAACCGGCTCCAAACGGAGCATTAATTTCTATTGTAGTATTAGGTAATAATCATGATATCTACGTTTCTGCATGGCTGATTACCTAGTGTAATTGATAGACCAGAAAAAACTTCTATGTTGTTTACCGATCTCTTGGTATATTGTATAGTACTCACACCACTGTCAAACACCAAGCGGTCACCGGTGACCGCAACCTATTGTCCTATAATTGTGTCTACAATGACGGTACTCGACGAGTTAATTTATTTATTTCAAATGTTAAACGTGAGGACTTGTTATTGGCTCATTGTTACCTACGCCTATTGTTATTTTTATCCATTTTTGTAACCTGTAAGTCCTCCATGAATTATAAATAAATAAATATTGTGGATGACGTTTGGTATTCGAATTGAAGTTTCACTAGAGATATGGTGTTGGTGGACTAAAAATATCGAATGAATTACCTAACGGAACAATCTACACACAAGAATCAATCGATTAGGGACACAAAATGAAACGACTTATTATTTTCAAAATTAGAATATACAGACTTATTACTGGCTACTAACAATCTTGATCATAATTTGCGACGCACTACTTTATTATACATATTGCCTGTACTGCTAGCTATGAATCAAAGTACGTATTTACACGTTGTTATGTTGCATTGTTAGGGCCATATTTGTAAATTACATACAGCCACTATATGAAGATCGCTGATGTTGCATCCGCACCAATAATTATTATTTTAATTAATTGCTGATGCACCTTTGACGTAAAACGATTTCGCAAGTTGTTGTTTGTTCAATAAATTGTAAGAATGATCATTCTATTATCCTACTTCGAATTAGAATCATCATTCATAGGGTTAATTTTGTATTAATTATTCAATAATTAAATTCATTTAAAATCATTACGTTTTTTTTTCGATCCTCCGATTGCAGTAAACGTAATTGGCGCAGTCGGTAGGATACTCGCGGGCCGGATCGCGAGATCGGGAATCTAAACTCCTTTACCAATCGCATCGCGAGCACCCGGGTGCCTATCAAGGACCATCTTCGAGTATCCAGAATCTACGGACCTACTGCAGACCGGAAGGAGAATCCAGCCATCGATTCACGGAGAAGAACCAGAAATGAAATATCTGTAAGTACACTTGAATCGTTCTCGTGTTGCACCCTTTGAATCTTAAACTTCAAGATTTACCATCCAAGGGCCTCTAGTGCGCGGGAGCCTGAATCACGACAGGCTCGCCAACGTACAGTAGATATAAATAGAGATATAACCGTAGATAATTTAGAGTTAAATAATATGACCCAAGCTCAGAATAACCCAGATATTATATACAAGGCCCTTCGCCTTGTTCCAGATTTTGACGGAAATCCAAATATCCTTACTCGTTTCATTAGAATTTGTGATTCGTTAGCCGCACAGTACTTAAGTAATTCACCTGGAAGTGAATTTATCAACCAATGCTTACTAAACGGCATACTTAATAAAATAACTGGGACCGCAGCATGTACTATAAACGCCAATGGAATACCAGAAAGCTGGCTAGGCATTCGAACTGCCTTGATTAATAACTTTTCAGATCAGCGTGATGAGACCGCATTATACAACGACCTCTCTTTAGCTACTCAGGGTAATAAAACACCACAAGAATTCTATAATCATTGCCAAACGCTATTTAGTACAATAATGACTTATGTGACTTTACATGAGACTATACCGACCACTATAG